CTGGCCTTACTAGGGGGCCATATGGGATGCTGGGGATCGAACCTGGGTTGGCTGCATGCAAGGCAAACGTCCTACCCACTGCACTATCACTCTGGCCCTGCAGTTCCTATTTCAACATGGATTAAGCATGGCCTCTAGCTAGTTGTTGAATCAAGAGCACATGCACCTAGCTGGCACTACCATGTGTGAGATGCCAGTGGAGAAGGGTTTGGAGTACATTGGTGGATCTTCCCAGCAGCCCTCGGAAGCAGAGAGTCTCATCCTCACTCCCCTGTGAAGAGGAAATTGAGACAGAGCATTCATTTGCTTTGTTTTGGTTTGGGGGCTACATTTAGGGTGCTTTGAACTTACTTGTGGCAGTGCTGGGGGAACCCGCTGCGCTAGCTATCTCGCATGATAGGGGTGAGTAGCTGGGCAGGCAGCACAGCCATACAGGGTACTACAACCACCAGACCAAACGGCCTGGCGAGATCAGAGAGAGAAAACAGTGCTTTGCTTCCAGCAAAGGAGTATCATTTATGCACATCTGCCCACCCTCTCAGCTACAGCCATTGTGTGAGAATTGGAACCAACAGTCCTCTGCTTTCTTTCTTTTCTCTTTTTTGCTTTTTGGGTCACACTCGGTGATGCACAGGGGCCACTCTTTTCTCTGCAGTCAGGAGTCACTCCTGGCGGTGCTCAGGGGACCATATGGGATGCTGGGAATCGAACCCAGGTTGGTCGCGTGCAAGGCAAACGCCCTACCCGCTGTGCTATCTCTCCAGCCCTTTTCTTTTCTTTTCTTTTTCTTATTTTGGGTCACACCCAGTGATGATCAGGAGTTACTCCTGACTCTACACTCAGGAGATACTCCTGGTGGTGCTCGGGGAACCATATGGGATGCCGGGGATTGAACTCAGGTGGGTTGCATGCAAGGCAAATGACCTACCTGCTGTACTATTGCTCTGGCCCCTGCTATCTTTTTTTTTTTTTTTGGTGGCCACATCTGGGATGCTCAGGTCTTATTCCTGACTCTCAGAGGACTAGATATTTTTCACTGAAGCACATGACCATACAGACTGTTGGGAATCAAACCTGGGTTGGCCAAGTGCAAGGAAAGCTCCTTTTCTGCTGTACTGTCTCTCTGGCCCCATCATATCTTTGCCTTCTTTCCATTTTCAGGGCACAGTAACTCCTCTCTATAGGCAGAGCTCCCCACTACCTCCATGGGCTGTAGCCTGGTCAGTGGACCAGCACTGCTCTCTCACATACTCCAGGAATCCAGAGAGGACATAATTCATTTGCAATGCAAATTTTTTGAACTTTGAGCTCTCCCTTTCTCTGTAAACCCAACCCAAGGTTACTGGATACTATTCTCTCACTTTCTAGGAGAATTGCCTTGGCTACCCGACCTCAAAGAGCTACTACCATAGAACAAAAAAGAAGGCCCACAGATAGAAAAAAAAACACCCATATTTTGGGGCCATAAGTTATAATCAATGTCCCTACAAATGACTGCTTAGAAAATGACTGTTTTAGGTGGCAGAATTTGGGGCTTGGGGCAGGTGGAAAGGATTGTTCAGTGACAAGTAGGATCTGACTAGCAAGAATGAGAATTGGGCAGAAGAGAGAGAGGTCAGTGTGTAAGGTGCTTACTGTGCAACCTGGGCTTGATCCCTGGAATCACATAGGGTCCCATGAGCACTGCGAGGAATGATCCTTGAGTGCAGAGCCAGGAGTAAGTCCTGAGCACTGCTGGGTGTGGCCCCAAAGCAAAATAATTGAAAATAAAAAAATGTAAAAAAGGAATGAGGCTGTGAGTTGGATCCCCATGGCTTAAGTTACAATTCCCTGAGTTAGTTTCCCAAAGTGATGTGGCCGGACAGGACAACCAAACAGAAATGACAGGGAAAGTCCTCGGCAACCACCTCAGCCTGCCTCCAGCCAATAAGAAGTTACCAAGTAGCTGGAAAGCCCCCTAAACCATTGCCAAAGACAATCTCCCCTTATGTATTATGTAATGCTGGAAGATTAAAAACCCTTCGCACCCGTGGCAAGGGGTAGCTGGCTCAGAGGAAGCTGCCACTGGGTTGGTGAGCCAGATGGTATGTCGAGCTAGCCAATAAAGACCCTTTGCTTGTTGCATTGCAACTTGTCTTCGTGTGATTCCTTGGGGGGAGATTTCCATCATATTTAACACTTGCATACTTAGAAGTACTTAGAAGCTTAGCCCCTGCAGCTCTGCTTCTTGGGTCCTTCCCAGTGACAACAAAGTGGATGCTCTCCCACGCACTGAAACCAGGTGTGTGCAAGTACCTGGCCAAGAGTGTGACTCCAGGGAGGGCCAAGAGTGTGCAGCTTCCAGGTTGGGTACAGAGCACCAGGGCAGGCTCATATCTGAGACTGCTCTTCCCAGCAGCAGAGACAGTAACGAAGAAGACAAAGGGGGGCACTGAGGATAAAACAGAACATTAAGACCTTGAACAGATCAAGGGCACCTTGTTATCGGGGACCTTGTTCTGCCGAATAACCTTGAAAGGAAGTAGAGATGGAGGGAGGAGCACATTTTAAGGCACTGCAATTGTCTCAGAATTGCATTCCTGGGTCAGTGCTCCCGGATATGTACTTTCGTGGGGGGGGGGGGAGGGGGCATGACCTTAGGACATAGAACTTTCAAGTTATTCAGATTTCCTTCAGGTGTTGTAAGTGGTTCAGAAGTTCAGGTGGAGTATATGTCCCTACATGCAATCTGCAAGATCTTTATTTCCACTAGACAATGTTCTGTTTTGGCTAGTGATGCCCTTGCCCCCACCAATAAAAAGTGGGGGGAGGAGCAGGAGTGAGTATTGTGGGGAGGGCACTTGCTTTGCAAGTGGTCCACCGGGTTTGATCTTTAGTATCCCTCATATGGTTCCCTGAGCCCTGCTAGGAATAATCCCTGAGCACAGGGATTATTTGCCTGTCAATCCCAGCCCCTGCCCCCCCTCAAAAAAAAAAAAACAACCAAAAACAACAACAAAAAAAGTAGAGGAAGGCTCCAGAAGATTCTAAGCTTAGCAAGTATTTATGGTTGGAATTTTTTCATATCCCTTTAACCCTGCCAAGAGGCCACGACCTTAATCTCCCATGGCATGATTAGTCAGTTTGATCTTAAGCCGTGTAATGAAATGCCCCCAAAGTGGAGTAAACCTTATTAACGTCAGCGCCACTTCTCATATCATGGGGCGGAGGTGGGTGGGACGGGGGGGGGGGGGGGTTTGGAGGGGAGTCTAGGAGCCAATCTTCAAAGTCATAGGAACGCTGGCTGAATGCTACTGAGAAAGAACACACCCAGGCTTCCAGGGTGAAAGAGGGCTGTTCTCGGAAAAAGCATAAACGGATATGGGCATTTACGGGACAGCTACTGAGCTCTAGCCGCGCTCAGAGATAATGTCTTTAAATCCCCCTTCCAGGCAGGAGCGATTCACGCCGGGGAGAGGGTGGGGCCGCGACTCGGCTCTGGCTCCAGGTGCGGCGCTGCTGCAGGTGAAGGAGCCGGGATCCGACCCCGCAGCTCGGTCCTCACCCTCACCGCCCGCCCCGCGCCGCGCCCCGCGCCGCGCCCCGGCGTGGGCGCAGATCCTGCATGCAGGTCCGCCGCGGGGACAAGAGTGACCCACGGCTCCCGGTGGCTCCGCGCCACCACGAGGGAGACCAGCGGGTCCTCGTGACTCTCCAGACTGTTCTGGCACCAACCGGGTGCCCGACTGCGGGGGTGAGGAGCGACCACGTGAGCCCGCTCCCTCCCGCCGGCGCGCGGGGACGGTGCCCGTCTGGCCAAGGGCAAGTCACAGGGGCGCGACAGCGTGCCAGGACGGGATCCGCAGCCCGGGCGCCGCGTCACGCGCGGGGACGGGCGGGAACTCGGCCGCCGGGCACGTCAGGTCACCAGGGCGCCGACAGGGACGGGGCCCGCGCGGGAGGAAGAGTCCGCGTGAGCCGGCGTGACCGAGACCTCCCGCCGCGGAGACGCGGGTCCGCGCGGGCCGCCGGGCCAGGGCGAGGCCCTGGGAGCGCGGGGAGCACGGGCCGCCCCGCCCGGCCCCGCCCCGCTCCCCACCAGGTTCCCGCAGGGGGCGGGCCGCCGGCTCGGCCGGACCAATCAGCGCCCCGGAGCTCGGCACGTCATGCAGGGGGCGGGCCCCGGGCCGGCGCGCGGCGCGATGGGTCACGCGGGACGCGGCCCGGCTATAAGTAGGGGCGGGCGGAGCGCGCGGCCAGTGTGATGGCTGCCGGCGCGCGCGGCCGCTTCCCGCTTCCCGGCCGCTAAGGCGCCCCCGAGCCCGGAGCCGCCGGCGCCCCCGCCCCCGCCCCGAGGGACCCGCTCGTCTCCCGCTCGTCTCTCGCTCGGGCCCCCGCGTCCCTTCTGGTGAGTGATGGTGCCGTCGCGGCCTCGGCGGGCGCGGGGGGCCGGAGCGGGGCCGCGGCGCGCGCGGGAACCGTCCTTTTCCGGCCCTGGGCGGGCGGGCGGGCGGGCGCGCGCGGGCCCGGAGTTCCCGGCGCCACGTGCCAGCCCCGCCGCCTGCGCGCCGGGCCGCACCCCGCACCCTCACCCCGCACCCCGGCACCCCAGCACCCCGCCCGGGCCGCGCTGCCATTGTTATCTTTCTCCACCACCCCCCAGGATGAACTCGCGTCCTTTCTCTTCTCCGCCATGGAATTGCGCTCCGTGCTGCTAGCCCTCGCGAGCCCAAGGAATCGCAGACAACAGATGCCCAGACGCAGCAGCGTATAGCAGTAACTCACCGCCCCCACCTCCTCACTCACTCACGCCCCCCAACCAACCAACCCACCCACCAACCCACCCAGCTCGGTGTCTCGTGCCGCAGTTTACAGTATTTAATTTTTTTTTGTATAATAATATTATTTATTACAGCTGCTTTTTTTTTTTTTTTTCAAAAAAAAAAAACACCATACCTCATATTCTGTTTACACGCCTCGGAAAAGCCGCTCAGTAAATTCCCTTTCATTCAGTCAAGCACCACTTGCACGACAGCATGGCATCCACCACCGTGGCGACGCTGGTCGCCAGCACGATCGCCGCCACCGCCGCGGCTGCGGGCTCGGATAAGAACTATCTCTGGATGCTCATCCTGGGGTTCGTGATTGCGTTCGTCTTGGCCTTCTCGGTGGGGGCCAATGATGTGGCGAATTCGTTCGGGACCGCCGTGGGCTCCGGGGTCGTGACCCTGAAGCAAGCCTGCATCCTCGCCAGCATCTTCGAGACGGTGGGCTCGGTCCTGCTGGGGGCCAAGGTGAGCGAGACCATCAGGAAGGGCCTGATCGACGTGGAGATGTACAACGAGACCCACGGGCTGCTGATGGCGGGCTCCGTCAGTGCCATGTTTGGTGAGTGGGCTCGGGACAAGCCCTCCCCCCCCAGTGGCCTCGCGGTCACTGGCTAGCGTGGTCACTGGCGGGAACCTTTATCTCTCTTGCGAAGGTGCTTTTCCTTCGGCCCGGGTGGGGAGGCCGCCTCCCGTTTGCTTGACTAAGGCCAGGCTCTTGCAGGTTCTGCTGTGTGGCAGCTGGTGGCTTCCTTCTTGAAGCTTCCCATCTCCGGAACCCATTGTATTGTTGGCGCCACCATTGGTTTCTCCCTTGTGGCCCAGGGATCGAAGGGGGTCAAGTGGACTGAACTTGTGAAAATCGGTATGTGTCCCTCTACTTTTTTTCCCCCCGTTTATTTATTTACTTATTTATTTTTCAGGTTTTTTTTTGGTGGGGGGGGACACACACCCAGTGATGTCTAGGGCTTGCTGTTCACTCCGCTTCAGCATCAATCCTGGTGGGGCTCGGGGGCCATATGCAGAGCCCTGGGGGATCAGATCCAGTATGGTCCAGGGCCAGGCCAGTGCCTTGCCTGCTGTATTATCTCTCTGCCTGTATTTCATTTAGTGGCATTATGTTAGGAAGCATGTGTGGGGTTGAAAGGAGTGAAAGGCGAAAGGCTACAGGAGAACGCTGATATTTAAGATGGGTTCCCCCCCACTCCGATTTAACACCAGTTGACTTTCTTAATGTGTTCTATTCCAGTGATGTCTTGGTTTGTCTCCCCGCTGCTTTCTGGTATCATGTCTGGAATTTTATTCTTCCTTGTTCGTGCATTCATTCTCCGCAAGGTAATGTTTCCCTTCCCTTTTTTCTTGACCTTTTAATGAGTCACATTCAATGGTATTCAGACTAGGAGCGTTTTTTTGTGAATGTGAATGGTGGTAGGTATGTGGCTTTGGGAAGTTGGGAAAAAATTGTTTATTACGGCTGTTGTGTGCTGCTCTTACATGTTGCCTAGTTCTCCGAAAGGAGCAGGAAGGAAAGGAAAAGAAGCCGGAAAGAAAAACGGAATGGATTCGTATCTTTGGTGTGCCAAGAAAAAGGCTGGAGTCTGAAAAAATTTGCCTGTTTATTGAGTCTTTTAAGTTTATATAAGTCCAGTCTGTTTATACCAATTTGAATTGTATGCTTGGGGCTCATATGACGGACCCCTGTGTTTTTTCTCAGCAGCCAATTAAATGGAGTAGCTTGGGTCTCTGCAGTTATTTCCTCCTGAGGAGACTCAGCTTCTCACAGTGAGTTAACTGTGGTTTTTCAAGTAGGTATAAAGAACCAATAAAGGAGGTGTGTTGGTCTCTCCTGAATAAAAGTCAGATCCCCATTTAACTTCCTGCTCGTTTGGAATTGCCTTCTGGGAGGGCCCTGATACAAAGTTTTAAACTGACCCCAAAATAAAAGGGAACATCAAGGCATGTGTCATTGAACTGAATAAGAATAAATGGATTTTCCTCAGGAAACAGTTACTTTTCTGGAGCAGCTTTTAATGGTCTAGATTAAGTTACCAAAAATGCTTCTCAATTGTAGAAATCTGAGCAAAGGGAAGGTAGCTCGTACCTTAAGGGGATAAAGAGATGTTCTCACCACTTGTTTGGTCTCATTCTAAGATGCTCCAGGAAAAGATCTGTACTGCTTCTCTTCGTAAGTTCTCTTACTGGTGAAGTCATTCACTGATCACTCTTATATAGACACATTTTAGTAGTCTGTAGCTGTAGAGTAATTGGAAAACTTGAAATATCTGTAGCTTGATTAAATTTATGAGATCTTTAGTGTTTTTATTAAAGCCATGTAACTTGCTCTATGCGCACAAAGTAGGAGAATTAGCTTCTCTGTTACGGATACCAGCTTTGTAAAGGTTTGTAGTGGTCTGTGTTGATTGTTGGGAAGCAGATTGTTCTGGGAAAAAGTAAAAAAGTAAAGGCCCTCCCGTTGATCATCGATTTGCTGGAGCGGGCCCAGTAACATCTCCATTGGAGACTTTGTTGTTACTGTGTCTGGCATATCGAATACTCTCCGAGAGGGGCGGAGGAATCAGCGGGTAGGGCGTCTGCCTTGCACGCAGCCAACATGACCGACCCGAGTTCGATTCCTCCGCCCCTCTTGGAGAGCCCGGCAAGCTGCCGAGAGTATTCGATATGCCAGGCACAGTAACAATTGTTCTGGTATTGAGAGATTTTGTATTTCTCAAAAGAAACGTGTCCTTTTCTGGAGAGGGAAATGGTGGTGCTCTGGGGTGCGAGGAGGGATTCTCGGGTGCTCGGGTATTTGTACCTCCAGTTCCTGGGAAATTTTAAGTTATCTTACATTTTTGTCACTTTGGGGAGCCATTCCTGGCAGTGCTCAGGGTCTGCTCCTGACTCCCTTGTCGGGTCCCTCCTTGCTGTGCCAGGGTTTGAGCCCAGGCCCCTGCATACAAAGCATGCACTCCACCTGTCCTCTCACCAGCCCAAAAGTCATTTATGCTGGACCTCCCCAGTGGTGCGGGGTGGGGGGGCTCCCTGAATACTCAGGAGGCTGTGTGGTGCCAGGGAGTGCCCGGATATACACGAGGCATGTGCTCAGCCTCCTTCGCTGTCTCCCTGCCCGGGAGTCTCTTTTCAGTTTGGAATCCCATGAAGTCTATCTAGTCTGCCCACAGATAATTTTTTCAAAAGCAGGAACTTCTTACTCCTTGGAACAATCTGTCATATAGTGAGGGTGGGTATACGGCTCAGTGACAGCTTTCTCTTGCCTGGTCTGGCGCTGGGTTCAGTCCCTGCAACTGGCTCTGAGATAGTGGAGAGAGCTGTTACTGTTTATAGAATTGTTATGAAGACTCCCAGGAAGGATTTTTTTGATTCGTTGGAGAATTCGCTACAAGTTTATTCTTATGATTATTTACTGCATTATTTCTTTACTCCACTGAGCAGCACAGTGTGACCCCCTTCCCTCTGCCTCAATTAAATTGTGCCCTTCCTTTCAGCACTGTCTGCCGAATATTTCTTCTATTTTTTTGTTCTTTTTTTCACCATACCCAGCGATGCTCAGGGCTTATTCTTGGCTCTGCCTTCAAGGGTCACTCCTGGCAGGCTCAGTGGATGATACGGGGTGCTAGGCTTGGCTCCAAACCCTGGGTCCCATGCACTTTGCTGACTCCAGGGCCCCCTCCCCGAGTTTGTTTGTTTGTTTTTTGTTTTCCATTCCACACTCAGTGCTTGGGGTCATTTTGGGTAGTTCTCAGGGATCCTGTGCCAGGAATTGAACCCCAGGCCTCCTGTATACAAAGCATATACCTCCAGTCTGTTGAGAAAATTCCCTGTCCATTTACTTTTTCTGTGACATTGTTTAGTACTGTACATTATTCCTTATTAGCGTGGCACTGTCAGTTCTATGTAAGAGCAGGAACTTTGTCTCATTGATTCCTGTATTGCAGTGCCCAGGCTTACGCTAGGCACAATCTGTTGAACGAAGGATTGGCTACTGCACAGTGGGTTTTATCCTAAACCCTTGGGTAAATCATTAATTACGGCATTTATCATACGTCTAGATGATGTTGCATGTATATTTGTTTTAAATCTTTGAGGATATAAAGGGAGAAATAGTCTAATATCTGGGTCTGTTTTGTGTATTTTTTGGGGGGTTTTGGTGGTTTGGGCCACATCTTGTGCTCAGGGATTGCTGCTGGCTGTGCTGGGTGGTTGCTTGGGATGGTTTGTGGTGCACGGGACCAAACCAGATCCATATCCTGCATCTGAGGACAACAGTGCCTTAACCTCAGTTCCCTCTCCCCAGCCCCAAGTCTGTTTCTGCTCTCTTAAATTACATAGGACATCTACAGAGATCCTCTTGGGTTTCCTTTGACTGGATGTAGCAGATACTCGAGAAAGAACACTGGGTATTGAAAAGGATCATTTAGAACATTACCAGTGACTGGCATCAGTAGCCTCAGTTTGTAGATAACAAAAAACCCTCCTTTCTGGCCCCTCTCCCCCCCAAACCCGCAAGCTACACCTTGAGAAAGGTGCGGATGAGATTAACCTCAGTGTGGAGATGCCCTGGGAGCGCCAGGTTGGCCTGGCATTGTGATTTGTGAACCTGCTCTTTGGCACAGGTCTGTGGAAATAGGTTAATGTTAACATGGTTTGAGCCACGCTGTGTGCTTCCGCAGAGTAGTCCTGCTCCTCCTGGGCGCCTGCACGCAGAGCCCGTTCTTGGCTGGCTGAGCTGGGTGCTTGACCTCAGCCCTCACAGCTTTTAAGGTATTGATCTTAATATTTTACAGGCAGATCCCGTTCCTAATGGTTTGCGAGCTTTGCCAGTTTTCTATGCCTGCACAATTGGAATTAACCTCTTTTCCATCATGTATACTGGAGCACCATGTAAGTACATACGAAAATATTTAAATGTGAATTTAAAGTTGTTTATAAAACTTGCATTAAATGCCCAATTTACCCCTTTTTGCTTTACAGGGCTGAAATCTCCTAGAAGGTGACTGGCCTGCGCCCATTTCAGAAGGCTGCAGGCTAGTGTATGCTGAGTTAATCTAGATAGCTTTTCAACCAAAGAGACCTGCTCAGATTCTAAATCACTACAGACCTTTTACTCTTTAGTCTTCACAGGATCCACCGATAATTTTCTCCCTCCCTTTCTCCTATCTTGCTAAAAATACTGGAATTGATGCTGATCTCCACTACTGGCTACTGAAGAGTCATTAGTTATATTATTGGTCTTCAATAACTAGTCATTTAGGACTGGTTTACCGGATATTCTTTTTTTTTTTTTTTACCTCCTAAGTGGAGCTACTTTTGTTGCTCCGTGCTAAGTTTACTCCCCTGAATCTGCTTGAATGAGAAGAGTTGGGATTTTTAACACCTGGCCTCTTAAGTGCACTTGGAAGAAGGATTCATGCAGCTAAGAGGAAAAATAATCTGTGAGAATCTGAGATTGAAATGTTGATTGCTTTTACCATGGGACTCAAAGTATGGATTAAATTATGATAGTACATGTTTAATTTAGCAACGGAAAGAGGGTTGGTAACCTGTAACTTGTTAGGCCCATTGCCCTTTTGGTTTAGAACATAGGTAAATTCAAATTGTGACTAAATTTCATGTATATTTTACTTAGATCACTTCAGAGTTGACAGCAGGGTTACTGTTGTGACTTGATCAGTTTGCTGTCTAGGTTCATTTGACTTGGTGGTCTTTGATCAAATTGGTGGTTTTCAGTCTTTGGCTGACATACTGGAAGAAATATATTGTACATTGCTGCCCAGGCCACCTCCTTATGCAGAGGGAGAGAGGAAAGGATAACTGGAATCTTGAGCTACTTGACCTGACTGCATTGTGTACTCATGTTTTCGAATACTTTTTTTTTTTTAAGCAAATAATGCTTGTTATTGCTCGCTAAATTGGTTTAATTTCTGACTAATGAATTAGAAGTGGCTTCTTAAACCTCACTGAAGTGTGTCACTGACTGAAAATGGAGCTAGCTAAGTATTTTTAATTTTGCCTTTATTTTTTTTGAATAACCAGGAGAGAAAATGGGCAATTTTATGAGAATATTGATTTTACTTAGGTGATGCCAGACTTAAATGATGCAAGCAGAGGAAAACTTGCGTGCTTTTTCCATTCTGTTTTAAATTTGGTTCTTTGTGCTAAATTTAAGTCCCCCATGGGATTTTCTTTAATGCATTCATTTATGTGGTGTCAGCAAAGCACGTAATTCAGTGAAGTTAGAAACTTAAATTTTCGATCATTTTGGAAAAGGCACCGTGGTTATTTTCTGTCTGTGGATCATTGCAAGAAAAAGTCGTTTCCCTTTTGATTCAGAACATAGGTAAATATAAGTTGTGATTGAATTTCATGTATATTTTACTTTGATCACGTGATCAGAATATACTATAGGAATGAAAAGGAAGATAGTCCCTGGAAATTAAGCTTGTTGTTTTGTTGTGTGTGGGTGGGTGTTGGGCCTCACTTGGCTGCTCAGGGATCACTCCTGGCAATCTTCCGGGTTGCTAAATTCGAACTGGGGTCAGCACCTTAATCGCCGTGGTTTCTCTCTGGTTACCCGAAGTTTTCAAAGAAAAGGAACCTCAATTAAAACAAATTTTTGATCTTTGTGTTTGGGCCACACCCAGCAGTGCTCAGAACTTTCTCCTGGTTCTGTGCTCTTCTCTTGGCGGGACTCAGGTGACTATAGCCTGCTGGGGATGGAACTTGAGTGGGCCAGGTGCAAAGCAAGTGCCCTGCCTGTAGGCCAATTGCTTTGGCCTGAGGAACCTCAGTTTAAAGAGGTAATGTGTGTCTATTTATTTTTGCCCCCCAGTGGTGCAAGAACTATTCTTAGGGTTTTGCTTGGGTCACTTTTGGAGGTACTCGGCACCATCCTGTTGGTAGTGCCAGGGATCAAACCCAGGCCTCCCCCATGCAAAGTTTGTGCTCCGCCTGTTGAACCATCTCTCGAGCCCCCACCCTTCTTTAAGTGCGGAACAGAATTCCCTTTTAAGAATATTTAATTCAGGGAGCAATAAAAGTTCTATAAGTAGTTGAATTCTTAATAAGTACAAGCAAGGCAACCACAAATAACTATTCTCGGAAAACTCTTATTTAACTTTCATGTTTAAATAAGATTCTTTGTTTCTGTCAATTAGGCTTAGTGGCTGGTAGTCTGTTGACGTTGAAATAAGCAGGTTGCTTACTTTACAATTTTGAGTTCTGTGGAAGTCACGCTAAATATGTTAGTGAATTTACACTGAAATGTTTTTAAAGTATTATCTTTGAATAGGCGCTAGTCTCATTTTCTGTGTCTAAGTTTTGATCCTTAAATTGTTAAAAGATTTTACTGGGGGCTAAATGCAATGGCTTGTGTCCTAATTCCCACAGAATTTTATCCGTATGACAAATGTGATGACTGGGATACATCCCTTTTTTAACATTAAAGTCTATCTCATCTGCGAGCACCCATCTTTTTCATAGCTAGCCGCAGATTCTCAGTGCAGTTGTTCTTGCTGTCTTCAGAGCAAGGAAGCAAAACGAGCAGGTGAAGGAGCTTGGAGTCTTCAGTCTGGCAGTGTCTCGGTGTGGGGGCTGGTGGGTCTGGGATTCAGATGACTTGTCGAATTTTTCTCCCAACTCTGACCGCAGCAGCACAGTGAATCCTGTGAACCAGAGACTGATAGCAGCTATACAGGGTGATGGGCTGGCTTGGGCATCCCCAGAGTCTCTTGAGGAGGGTTTACACGTGATTACAGGGGGCAGTTGCCCTGGGGTTTTCAAGATGCACCATTTTATCTCCTAGTGCTGGGCTTTGACAAACTCCCTCTGTGGGGTACCATCCTCATCTCGGTGGGATGTGCCGTTTTCTGTGCCCTTATCGTCTGGTTCTTTGTATGTCCCAGGATGAAGAGAAAAATTGAACGTAAGTAACAAATGATAACAGAACTCTTAAGTAAAATTGTGCTTTTTTTTCTGTCTCACTGGGCTACCTAGAAAAACCATTTAGATTGATGGGTGGTAAAAATCAAAGACTGTAAATGTAAATTTGCGAGTATGTGTTTATGGTCCAGACTGTTCTTGCTGCAGTGGACCATGGCTTTAATTGTATTCTACGTATGCTATGGAGAGGTGGGTAGGGATGCCCCCGTCGGCCAAGGAAAGAGTTTTATTTATGAAATTGTGGGAAGTGGGTGAGAGTGAGATAAGACCTTGAAGTAAAGGAAACAAAGTTAAAGGGAGATAAGTCCCATTGCTGAGATAGGAACAGTAGGGAGGCCCCAGGAGAGCAGGGATGCAGGTGGCTCCTGGGCTGAAAGCATGATCCCCAGGTTAAACTACACCCTTTGATCACAGCCAGTGCCGTGTTCGATGAACACAGTGAAATGTTGATTTCTTGCCTAGTGTTCTGCCAACTGTTTCTCCCATTTCAAACTCAAAATCTGACTTGAGCTTTGGTTAATTCTCAAAACTCAACAAATAATAGAGGTCAACATTTTCAAGGCTCCTCACCTTCCTGGCTGTAGTCTTAGAATCTATTATGCCCTTTTCCCTGCACACACTCAGTTGGCGATGGAGGTGGTTCCTTAGACTCTAGGAGATGCGCAGACTGCAGCAGCTTCTGGAAGATGCTGCGTCATGCAGCCTAGCGAGGCCCTGTGCTGCTGTGCCAGGCACTCAGTGGGCAGAGGCTTTAGCTATCTGACTTGGTTTGTTTCCCTGTCTGGGCAAGAAGAGACCGGTCTTGCTAATGTTTTATATACTGGTCTCTATTTAGCTGGATCTTGAAAGAATAGGGAAGCGTAACTGGCCTGGACACCATAGGCAGGAAATCATTCCTACCTGCCTATGAAATGTAGGGTTGTAAGTTAGAACTCTGAGGGGTATCTCTTGGTTTTATTGATACGGGAATAAAAGTCTTTTTTTAATTGCCTGCATTGAGAGGTGTAATTTTTGAGCTCAGAACTGGCTTGTTTGAATTTTCATTAACATAAAACTTGTACATGAATATACATCAGATCTTGCAAAAGCCCAAAATACTTTTTGTTTTGGATCTGTACTCGGAAGTGCTGAGGCCCCTTGTGGTAGCAGGGCTGGAAAGAGGACTCTGAACACAAGCTCCCGTATTTCCAGTCCAGCTCTTAGAACCACCTCTCCAGCCTTAATGTTTTCTGCTGAAAAGTTTGCAACCTCTGATATGCAGGGTGTTCTGCATCTGAAGAAAGTGAGATAAGGCTTTTGAAATAGACAGGGCCATTAATCCCGAATTGTCATGGAAATTTACATTTGTACTATGTACTTGGAGATAATTTATTTTTTTTGAAGTGGGGACAGGGGAGATGTGGGAAAAGTTGGTTTGGCTGGAACCAAACAACCCCAACCCCCTTCTTTTCTAGGAGAAATAAAGTCTAGTCCCTCTGAAAGCCCATTAATGGAAAAAAAGAACAATTTAAAAGAAGACCACGAGGAAACCAAGTTAACTCTCTGTGACTTGGAAACCAAGAGCCCTGCTTCTGAGGGCGGGTCTGCTGAGGCGCCCCCTCTGCGGGCTGTGGTGGAGGAGAGAACAGTGTCCTTCAAGCTCGGAGACTTGGAGGAGGCTCCAGAGCAGGAGAGGCTTTCTAGCGTGGACCTGAAAGAGGAAACCAGCATAGATGGTGCCATGAACGGTGAGTGGGGTTCCCTGGGTGGGTGGGGAGTGCCCCTGGCCGCCATGTTCCTTCTGAGGAGCTTCATGAGTTGGACCCGGTGCATTCTGCTACTCTTTTTTTTTTTTTTTCCTTTTTTGGGTCACACCTGGTGATGCACAGGGGTTACTCCTGGCTCTGCACTCAGGAATTACTCCTGACGGTGCTCAGGGGTCCATATGGGATGCTGGGAAACGAACCTGGGTCGGCCGCGTGCAAGGCCAACGCCCTACCCGCTGTGCTATTGCTCCAGCCCCCATTCTGCTCCTCTTGGGCACCACTGATGCCCTCTTGGTTCCTGACCAGGTGCAGTGCAGTTGCCGAATGGGAACCTCATTCAGTTCAATCAGGCCGTCAGTAACCAGATCAACTCCAGTGGCCACTATCAGTATCACACCGTGCATAAAGATTCTGGCTTGTACAAAGAGCTGCTCCACAAGCTGCATCTTGCCAAGGTGGGAGACTGCATGGGGGACTCTGGTGACAAACCCTTGCGACGTAACAACAGCTACACCTCCTATACCATGGCTATCTGTGGCATGCCACTGGATTCATTCCGTGCCAAAGAAGGTGAGCAGAAAGGTGACGAGATGGAGAAGCTGACATGGCCCAATGCAGACAGCAAGAAACGCATCCGCATGGACAGTTACACCAGCTACTGCAATGCTGTGTCTGATACTCACTCAGCCTCTGAGATGGACATGAGCGTCAAGACAGAGATGAGTCTGGCTGACAGGAAAGGGAGCAGCGGCTCCCTGGAAGAATGGTCTGACCAGGACAAACCAGAAGTCTCCCTCCTTTTCCAGTTCCTGCAGATCCTCACAGCCTGCTTCGGGTCATTTGCCCACGGTGGAAATGACGTCAGGTCAGTTGACTGCCTCTTGGTGTCACTCATTTTGTTCTCACGCTGCATGTCCCTTCTTTGAGGCTGTGATGTGGCTGTAGTACTTAGACTGCCAGTAGGGACACTACGTCATCTAGAGCAATCACTAAACTTACTTGTCCTGCTACCCCCTTGTCAGGAAAAACAAAGGCCGCTGTCCCCTGGAAATTGAGCTTTTTGGGAGAGGGAACCACACTGGACCACACTCGGGGATCTCTCTAGGCAGGGCTCTGGGCACCATATGGGGTGCCGGGGATCTAACCTGGGTAGCTGCGTGCAAGACAAGTGCCTTGCCTGCTGTGCTCACCCTCTGGTCCAGGAAATCCACTTTTTTAGGTGAACAAACCGCCTCACCTCCAGTTGCACCTAAGGCTGTTTACCTCTTTTCTTCCTACCCCTGATAATTTAAGAATTACTCAGCACTTCCAGGAATTTCCCCAAATTCCACTGATCTGATGAGGTAATAGCTATTGACTTAAGAGTAAGATTATTTCAATTACTGCTGTATGATGAATTAGATTGATCTAATTTTTTTTTTTGTGGTCCACAACCTGTTCAGTGAAACTTCAGTTGCTTTAGACCTTGTTTAGGGACAGAGGTCAACAAACATGGTGTGCTCCTAAGATCAGATCTCGGTTTTTCTGTGTAATGTGAAATTTCATTTATTTCTTTTTTCGGGGAAAGGGCTCATTTGCCACATTCACTTGAAAGTTCAACCTTGCCAGGTCTAATTCAGTCTGGAAAGTCATCTTTGCCCTCCTTTTTCCTTCCAGCAATGCCATTGGTCCTCTGGTTGCTTTGTATCTGATTTATCACACTCAAGATGTTTCTTCCAAAGTGGCGACACCCATATGGCTTCTGCTGTTTGGCGGTGCTGGTATCTGCATTGGTCTGTGGGTTTGGGGAAGGAGAGTTATCCAGACCATGGGGAAAGATCTAACCCCAATCACACCCTCAAGGTAAGTTTGGTAAAGCAGGTCTTAGGTTAATGCTTATTTTCTTAGGAGACATAAGTATACATTGTGTGGCCTCTTAAAGCATTCTCTAGACTGTTCTATAAGTTTATTGTTGGTATAAATCCTTTAGTTTGTACTTGTCTGTCCCTTACAAAGGCTCTTTAGCCCCATTGTCTTTTTTTTTTTTAGACCAAATAATTGAGAAAGCTGTGTGTTAAAATTGAATTACTAAATCCATGTACTTTGTCATGGGACGTACTTTGCTTGGGATCTAATACTAGTCTTTGTCAAATTTTTCAAAGTTAAATTGCAAAGTATATTATCAGATTTCTGGAAAACTTAAAAATTGAATGTTAAAGGGGAATAAATATGATGTGGCAAAGTGGGATTCAGGAGTTAAACCTATTAAGGATGTGGTGAAATGTTCACTGAGTAAGCCAAAGCACGACTGACTGGATCTGAGGTAGTGTTAGCGGGTCACAGATACCACGTTCCTCTCTGACAAGTTGTCATCTCTTTGTGTCTACAGTGGCTTCAGTATTGAGCTGGCATCTGCCCTTACTGTGGTGATTGCATCCAATATTGGTCTTCCCATAAGTACTACACATTGTAAAGTAAGTGTGAGCTGTTCAGACACGGTGATTTACACTGTGGTTGGCGTTTCAGGAACACAGTGCTGCTCTGCCACACTGACCATCAGAGTGTTGGCATCCCTTCACAGCTGTTGCCAGGTTCCCTCCCACCCAACCTCTCCACCTAGCACATCCTGTTCTGCAGGGTATCTTTTGTTGTAGTAATAATATGCTTGTTTGACTTGGGTTAAGAAAATTTACCATTTTCCCAAGGGATGTGAGGGATTGTAAAGTGCTGGTAGGGTGCTTGCCTTGTAAGTGGCTGACCCAGGTTTGATCCCTAAGCATAGAGCCAGGAGTAAATTCTGAGCACTGCTGGGTGTGGCCAAAAAAAAAATAGTATGTAATTGGAGTTTTGAAGAATCATAAATTCAGAATAAATTAAAGTAAAAAACCTACTTTGCATGTGATGTCTGTGGTTTAGTCCTTGGTATCACAGGAGGGAAAAGAAAGTAAAGGCTTGGGGCCAGGATGATAATATAGAAGATAGGATGTTTGCCTTGCCTGTGGCTGACTCGGGTTTGATCTCTGGCATTCTATGTTGTCCTCTGAGCATTGCCAGGAGTGATTGATTCCTGGGTGCAGAGCTAGGAATAACCCCTGAGCATCCTGAGCATCACTGGGTGTGACCCAAAAAAGAAGGAAAATCTTAATTGGTTAAGCAGTTCGGCTATATTCCCAAATGATGCCAGAGTCCTTGTGTGCAGAGCTAGCATATATATCTCTCTGGGACTTGATGAACAGTTGAAAGGCATTTTATGTATTGAATTCTAAGATTACTTTATGGCCATACAGTAACTATTGGAAAAGGAAGAAATGAATACTCCCAGGAATTCAAGTTATGGATTAGCTTCTCTAGAATCTCTCCCCCTAACTATTTGGGATAATTGATCTAGATAGAACTTTGGGACCTAAACCTTAATAATTTGATTTTCTTTTGTTAATGAAATTATTACTAATGTTCTTTTTTCCTTTCTTTTTATATTTTGGGGGGGGGTCACACCCAATAATGCTCAGGGCTTACTCCTGGCTCTGCACTCAGGAATTACTCCTGGCAGTGCCTGGGGGACCAAATGGGATGCCGGGGATTGAATCCTGGTTGGCCTCATGCAAGGCAAACAGCCAACCTGCTATACTGTCATCACTCCAGTCCCGTAATGTTCTTCATTATTAAAGTAACTTATTAGCTCAGACGGGAAAAAGAAAGTGTTCATCACATCATAGTTTGATTTGTGACTAGATCTAATGAATGGAATTTCGTAGTGCCTCTATTTCCTGAGCAGTCTCTTTCATGTGACCCGGTGTCATATAGCAGTTGGGGGCTTCTGGGCTCTGTTTACACCAGTGACAATTTAATCACCAGTTTTCTTTCCCCCTCTCACCTCTCTCTTAGGTGGGCTCTGTTGTGTCTGTTGGCTGGCTCCGATCCAAAAAGGCTGTTGACTGGCGACTCTTCCGCAACATTTTTATGGCCTGGTTTGTCACAGTCCCCATTTCTGGTATTATCAGCGCTGCTATTATGGCCATCTTCATGTACGTCATCCATGTCGAGTGAAGCTTGGAGTTTCAAGTGTCTGGGACCACCATGCACATTCCCTCTCCTCTGAAGAAGGATCACAGTATTACCGAAGGCTGACAGGAGCTGTTCAAGTTGGGGAGCTGCAGGAGGGAAGTGTCATTTGTGCTATACTTGCTTTTGTGCTAAATATGACTTGTCTCAAAATTAGCTCTGTAAAATAGCTGGGTCTCCCCTGATTCCTGTCGAGGCCCCTTTCCTCCCGGGCTGTGAATTCCTGTACATATTTCTCTACTTTTTGTATCAGGCTTCAATTCCATTATATTCTAATGTTGTCTACTGAAGATAAAGTGATTTTTTTCCCCCCCCCATTTTCGACAACCATACAGAGCCCTTGACCGATTGCGCTCTCCCTTCTCCCTGGGTTCACCAGCTTCTGCCCTCAGTGCACAGGGACTTCACAGCAAATGTGACTGAAGCTTTCCTGAGTGTCCCCCACAGAAACAGTCGTCTGTGCTCTGCCTTCTGTTGGCACTGGCAGGCTGGATTGCATATGTGGGATGTTCTTAAGGGTTCTGTGGATGCAGTGAAAATTTAAGTTAGTAGTAACTTCTTTGCAAACATTTCATTGACTTACTGCTAAGAAGAAGGAAAAAGCCTTCTGCCAATCATGGTTATTTCTTGAAGATTGCTGGCATTGTGGGATGGATGAATGAAGTGGAATTTGATCTTTGGGCAACTTACATGGGATAGCCTTTCATGTTCATCTGTCTACCTCTTAACTGAATAAAAAGGCCTACAATTTTTAGAAAACTTGTTCTCGTGGTTTTTGTTCATATTTGAAAAATACAGGTTTCTGGGTGTTATGTCATTGTTAGCAGACTAAGACAAAGAAGTGAACCACCATCTAACCTGAAGCAGCCCACACATCTCCCTAGGTAAATTTTTTATTTAATAGGTTTGGGAACCACACCTAGAAGTGTTCAGGGTTTCACCCAGGAGTCCTGAATGCAAAGCATGAGCTCCAGCCCTTTGACTGCCTCCTAGCTTCTCCACATTACACAGCTTGTGATCCAGAATCCATAGGTTGTTACTCCGTGTGGGCTGTTGTATTAGTTTTGCAGTTTCCCTGGGCAAACCAAAGTCATTTCCCCCACCATACCTCCAACCCTACACCCACCTTGCCTAGTACTCTCCAGACCTCTCCACCTGTTGTCTTTTTAACCTTTTAATCAGAACAGTATAGTGTAACCCTGCTTTGCCAACTAGGCTGATGGTTTCTGTTCTGAGTTCATTTTAGGAGAATGTTTTTAGAAGCCAGTCTGCAACAAGAATAAGTTTATGGCTATATTGATCCAGACCTAAAATTAGATTACTGTTTTGGTCCAGGTCTTTCGTCTTTTTTTTTTCTTCTTTTTGGGTCACTCCCGGCTTTGCACAGGGGTTGCTCCTAGCTTTGCACTCAGAAATTACTCCTGGCAGAGCTTGGGAGTACTAGACGGATGGTGGGAATTGAACCTGGATTGGCCGTGTGCAAGGCAAACATCCTACCTGCTGTACTAACGCTGCAGCCCCGTTGTTATCAGTTTTAATGGTCATAAACTGAATAGACACACAAATATGCTATTTGATATTAAAACATTGTGCTAGGCTTTTTATGTATCTTTAATGCTCAAGAGCTTTATAGTGATGTGAAATGATATTGTGGTTTTGATCTGCAGATGACTGGTTAAAGAAACTGATACATTTAGACAATGGAGTACTATGTAGCTGTTAGAAAAGAGGAAGTCATGAAATTTACATACAAGTGGTACTACATGGAAAGTATGTTAAGCGAAATGACTCAGAAAGAAAGGGATAGACATAGAAAGATTGCATTCATCTGGGGAACATAAAGTAACAAAATAGGAGACTAACACCCAAGAATGGCCGAGATTAGTACCAGGAATTTTACTTCATGGCTTGGAGGCCAGCCACACATGCTATGGGAAAAGGAGCTCAGATAGAGAAGGGAACACCAAATAAAGGTGTTTTGGAGGATCCTCCCAGGATGGGAGAAGCATGCTGAAAGTAGACTATAGACCAAACCTGCTTGTCACCCATTGCCTCTTTTGCAAACCACAACACCCAGTAAGAGAGAGAGAGAACAAAAGGGAATGCCCTGCCACAGAGGCAGGGGGGAATGGGGGGAATGGGGGTGGAAGGGATACTGGGATCCGTGGTGGTGGGAAATGGGCACTGGTGGAGGGATGGGTATTTGATCATTTTATAATTGAAACCCAAGCACAAAAATTTGTAAGTCTACAATTGTACCTCATGATATCTCACTAATTTAAAAAAAAATTGAGCAGTAAAAAAATAAGCTATTAATAATAAAAATCTTTATATTTTGCCTTATCATAACATTTAATGAATAAGTCAACACAAAAATTGATAAATACAATAAAGATATTTGGATGTCAAAAAAAAATAAGAGCTTTATAGTAAGTTTTAAAATTATTTTGCAGACTGAAACAGGCCTGAAGAACTTTTGTGCGCTTTCCAGTATTAGCAAAGTATGCTTGTAGTCTTTGTTTCTGAAAAAAAGAGAGAAAAAAAAGGCCTTGAGTAGATAATTGAGCACCCAGGAGGGAGGGGCCCAAGGAGATGGCCATGAAAACTAGTTTTAAGCTTTGAATTGAGGTTCTGGGAGAACCCTGAATGATTTTAGCTTCCTCTCATTGGCTGGCTGATCTCATATGCCCAAAGATACCCAGTAGCCTTTGCCAGTATCTCCCGCTTGCCTCAGGACTCTGAAAACAGAAAACACTTGACAAAACCTTAACAAAACAAAAACTTGAGAAAACACCAAGGACATGTTTCCCGGGGAGGAGCCTCCTAGAGATGGGAAGAGAGTTTGCAGTGCGCTGGGCACACAAGCCCAGCAGAATCTTGAGGCCAAGATTTGAGAGGAGACTACATAGTGCTTTTTCTTTACCTTTTGTTTGCTTGGGGACTGCATCTGGCAATGCTCAGAGGTTACCTGGCTCTGTGCTCAGGGGGACTCCATGCCGGAGCTCACACCCAGGTTGGCACTTTTTTTTTTTTTCTTTTTGACTCACACCCAGCGATGCTCAGGGGTTGCTCCTGGCTCGGCACTCAGGAATTACTCCTGGCGCTGCTGGGGGGACCATATGGGATGCTGAGTATCAAACCCGGGTCGACAGCGTGCAAGGCAAACGCCCTACCGTCTGTACTATCGCTCTGGGCCCCCGGGTTGCCACTTGTAAAGTAAAAGCCCTACCCACTGTACAATTTGGCCTCTAGATAATGCTTTTTCTTCAAAGTACAGCATGTTCCTTTGTTTTTTAAAATTTATATTTTGGCTTTTGGGCCATATCCAACAATGCTTACTTGTGGCTTGCACGCAGGGACCATTCCTGGTGGAGACTCAGGGGAGCACATTCGGTTTGGGACCAAACACGGCTGGCCACGTGTAAAGGAAGTGCTTTTTGCTCTGTCTTATCTCTAGGTTATTAAGTCACTAAGATACAAGTTTCTTAGTAAATACATTGTGATCACTGTCTCTGCAATTTTTTTCTGCATGTAGTGACATTTTTTTTTAAATTTTATTTTTTTGTACTTTTCTCAAGTCCATCCTAAACCTCTCCAGCAGTTGTCTAGTTCCCTTTTTAGGACTGATGAGAAGCAATTGAAAAATTAACTTTTATTTTATTACAAAAGTGTCAGACAGTTTTGACCTCTGTACCCTAAAATTCCTCCTCATCATCCTGAATATGTCTTTTACTCCTTTGTTGCATTCCCTGATTTCTGTAGTAGCCCCTATTGTCTTTCTTGATTCCATTCATTGCTTGTTTTTTGTGAGAAACACCGACCAGCAGAGAGTTTTGGCGAGGATTTTTTTGTTTTTGTTTTTGATACTTTGCATGTCTGGACATGCTTTCATTCTGCTCTTTGTTTTCTTTTTTTTGGTTTTTGAGCCACAACTTGTGCTCAGCCAGGCTCACTCCTGGTAGAGTGCAGTGCTGGAGATAAAACCCAGGTCAGCCACATGCAAGGCAAGAATCTTACTTGAAGTACTACCTTTCTTAGTCCCACTTTTAATATTCTGTAGTCTAAAGCCTTTCTGATAAGTTTTGCATATGATCTTTTTCTCTTTGGAGGCTTATTGGGACATTTAGTTCCTATGTGTTAGAAAGTTAGCAACTTTTTTTTTTTCTTTTTGGGTCATACCCGGCGATGCACAGGGGTTACTCCTGGCTCATGCACTCAGGAATTACTCCTGGCAGTGCTCGGGGGATCATATGGGAATCGAACCCAGGGCAGCTGTATGCAAGGCAAGCGCCCTACCCGCTGTGCTATTGCTCCAGCCCTGAAAGTTAGCATTCTTTAGGAGAATTGGATTATGATTCTTGGGCCATACCTGGCAATGTTTTGGACCATGTGGTACTGGGGATCAAACTCCGGCCTCTTGCAAAATATGTGTCCAGGGACTGGAGTGATAGCCAGTAGGGCATTTGCCTTGCACGTGGTCGACCCAGGTTCGATCCCCAGCAACCCATATGGTCCCCCAAGCACCGCCAGGAGTAATTCCTGAGTGCAGAGCCAGGAGTAACCCCTGAGCATCGCCGATGTGACACAAAAAGAAAAAAAAAATGTGTCCAGTCCTTTGAGTTATCAGTGTTCATCCCCCGTCCCCGTTTTATTTTTTTAATGAACTGAGTACTTCACTCCTTTGAAGTCTAAAAGTTCAACTTTCTGAATTATTTTGTTCTCCATAGCTTTTTTTTTCTTTTAGTTTTCCTGTTTCTGACCTTGTCCTTTTTTGAAAACTGTCTTCATCAGTCGTCTAATGCTGATATTAAAATCCTTCTTAATTTTCAAAAGTCTGAAGACCGTATTCCTGATTCATGAGTGCAGTATCTTTTCCTTGAGGATATTAGTGGTAAATTTTAATGCACCACCATATTTTTCTGCCTGTTTTTTTCTTTCTTTTTCTTTTTTTTTTTTGCAGTGCTGATTGAACCCAGGACCTCACACCTGCAAGGCAAGTACTCTACCACTGATCTTTGCTTCTGGCCCTTACTCTGGTGTTTTTGTTTTTGTGTTTGGGCCACGCCCTACAATGCGCAGGGTTCACTCCTGGCTCTGCAGTCAGGAATGACTTCTTGTGGTCTTTAGGGGATCATACGGGACTCCAGGGATTGAACCCAGGCGAGGTACCTACAAGGCGAGTACCCTACCCACTGTATTCTTTCTCCGGCCCCTCTGTCTCTTTGGTCTAGACTCATGCCAAAAGTTTTCCTTAGCTGCCTGGTGATCTCTGGTCATCAGTTCATTTAAGGATGGAGCAGAGAAGGGGTGGTGGGAAGCTGTGTGTGTGTGTGGGGGGGGGGATGCGGTGGTGTGTGTGTGTGTGTGTGTGTGTGTGTGTGTGTGTGTGTGTGTGTCTTGAGATTACAGTGACTTAGTTTTGGCAGTGGTTCTCATTTTGCATGGTCTTCGCTTTCCCTCATACCCTGGGATATGTGGCACCATTTGGAGACTAAAAAAGTAAAAGGCCCTCCCGTTGATCATCGATTTGCTCGAGCGGGCCCAGTAACATCTCCATTGGAGACTCTGTTGTTACTGTGTCTGGCATATCGAATACGTCACGGGGAGCTTGCCGGGCTCTGCCTTGTGGGCAAGATACTCTCAGTAGCTTGCCGGGCTCTCCGAGAGGGGCGGAGGAATCGAACTCGGGTTGGCCAGGTTGGCTGCGTGCAAGGCAAACGCCCTACCGCTGTGCTATTGCTCCAGCCCCTATTTCCTTA